CCTTGGATTTTTCCAAAATTAATGATATGTTTAAGACTTTTTACTCTCAACTTTACACCTCTGAACTCCCACAGGAAAGCACTTTAATGGATAACTTTTTAACGCTTTGAACATTCCTACGCTTTCCTCTGATAGTAAAAATAGATTATACAAACCCATAATGCAAGAGGAGCTGAGCGCAGCTAATTCCTCACTGCAGTGTGGAAAATCACCTGGACCTGATGGATTTCCCATAGAATTTTTCAAAGCATTTTCATCAATGCTTTCACCTCAATTATGTCTAATGTGCATGAATCGGAGCGGATTCATGCACGTGTTGTAAACTTCCGCCATCCTATTTCAAGGCAAGTATCACTCTTGTCCCAAGAGGAATGTCCAGTGGAATGTTCGTCCTACAGGCCAATCTCTACATTAAATGTCGATGGTAATATTTTGGCTAAATTTTTGGCACGCAGGCTGGAAAATAATTTCCCATCCATTATATCAAAAGATCAAACTGGTTTCATTAAGAATCTTTACTCTTATTTCAATATCTGTTGTCTATTAGATATATTATACACCCGTTCCGGTCAGAATCCTGAGTGCATTCTTTGCTTAGATGGGAAGAAGGCATTCAATCAGGCTGCTGCCAATATTTATTCCCAAATCCTTTGATTCTTTAAATTCAGTTATATCATCTTATATATGGAGAGGTAAACACCCCCAGTTGAATAAAGCTCTTCATCAAAAGTCTTGGACTAATGGAGGCCTGGCACTGCCTAACTTCCGGTATTACTATTGGGCAGCAAATACGTGCTTATATCTTGGGTCTATTTCCAAAACAAAGATAATTGCCCTTCCTGGGTGTCCATGGAGTTGAACTTGGCTACAGATTCATCTATTCTGGCTCTGATTGGATTTTCACCCACCCTACCCCCAAACAAGAGCAACTGATAATCCAGTTGTCTGGCTCACGGTGAGGGTGTGGGCTCAGATGAGGAGGCATTTAGGCTTAAAAAAATTTAACATCTTAAAATATGTATCTCCCACTGTGATAAACCATGGCAGACCCGAAGACATTTTCAAGCTTTTCAGGATGCTTTATTGAGGCACACGGTTGCTGAATACACACATGAATGGCTGCAGTATCCCAGCTGTCAGCCGACACATCCACAACACAACAACTCAGACTGTGCAAAGCCTTTTCATCTCACCTACAGCAGCACTGCAGACCACGCCCCGCCATATACCCCCATTGCCCAACAGGCCGGCAAGCCATCTAGCCGAACCTACTGTTCCCCCCGCCCAGACCGTTGGTGCTCCTGGGCCCTGGTGAGGGACAGGGATGTGACCACTCTGGCGGTCGCCCACATATCCAGCAGCGCCAGTGACAATGTGGATCCAGGGGACGCCCTGCGTACCCAGCGGCAGCCCTGGAACTGGTCCAGGGGGCCAAGCAGCGACAGCGCAGTAGACGTAGAAGTGAGCCGGGGCTCACCGAAAGCTGGTCCACCTCCTCCACCGCCAGCAGGCATGCCTCCTGTACACTGGCAGTCGCGGACCCTTGGGCACCTCCAGCAACAGTGTGGCAGGTTCCTCCTGCGCTCTCCATGAGCTGACCTCCGGCTCTTGCTGAGCAGGTGGTTGAGCTGGTGGCGAGCCCAGGAGATGCTCCGCGGCCCTCCTCCAGGGAGCAGGAACGGGCACAGATCCCTGCCGGGCATAAGCTGCTACCACTTGATGAGTAGGGATGGGTGCGGCGGCCGGCTATGTCCTGGCTTGTCGCATCCTGGGGCCTGACATGGTCGTCAGAACAGCCTGGACCTCCTCCACGCCAACGCTGTCGGGGAATGCCGGTGAGAGTGAGAGTGCCAGATTCTTCATTACCTGTAGATGCTGCTGGGTCCAGTCTTACAGCTCTTCTGTGCTGGCCATTTTGGCCACCATTCAGGCCAACTCCTCCCCTTGGCGGCCAGTTTGTGGGTCTGCCGTGCTCCCCATCCTGGGTTTCGGCACCACTGTGATAAAACAAGGCAGACCCAAAGATATTTTCAAGCTTTTCAACATGCTTTATTGAGGCACATGGTTGCTAATTACACACATGAATGGCTGCAGCATCCCAGCTGCCAGGCGACACATCCACAACACAACTACTCGGACTGTGCAAGGCGTGATAGCAGATGCCACGCAGGTGCATCCATCTCACCTGCAGCAGCATTGCAGACCATGCCCCACCACACCCATATACACATTTTTTCAGATATCTGCAGATCAGACATTTTCTCAGACATTCTCAGACACTAAATTTTCCAATAGCAGCAGCTGCAATGTCAGGGATATGCACCTTAATGTACAGGGTGGGCCATTTATACGGATACACCGTAATAACATGGGAATGGTTGGTAATATTAAAGTCCTGTTTGTGGCACATTAGTATATGTGAGGGGGCAAACTCCTCAAGATGGGTGGTGACCATGGTGGCCATTTAGAAGTCGGCCATCTTGGATACAACTTTTGTTTTTTCAATAGGAAGAGGGCCATGTGACACATCAAACTTATTGGTATTGGTATTTTTTTTTTCGCCTGTCCTGTTTGGCTCTATTGCCATCAGAATTACTGTCTAAAGGCAAAGAAAGATGCCCAACGGATTTACTTTACCAAATGGACCATTGCAGCCTTGCCGTATTGGTCTATTTGATTCACCTTTGCTTTTATTGTTTATTTTATTTTATTTTCACTTGCTAAACACGGGACAGACTTGACTGGGGAAAAGAAAAGGGAGAAAGAAAGAGGGAAAGAAAAACAGCGGGGAAGAGGAACGGTGATAAAGGGGCAAAAAACAAAAACCAACATAACAAACAGACAAAAATACATATATCAATCACCTGGATCACCTGTTGAGAAAGAAAAAAGAGAAAACAAGCAAAAAAAAAGAGAGCAATATAATAAACAACATCATCGCGATGATCTATGGGAATGTAACAGTAAATACTAAATATTAAACATTATTGTGCAGCACGTAAGATCGACAGTGCACAGTGTGCTTTGAGGTAGGAGCCAAAGAGGGTGTAGTTTGTGTCTGTGAGCACCCGTGTGTACACCTGTGAGCATGAGCGCGCTTGTATTTAAAAGGTTCCTTCATGTAATGATCTGCTAGAGGGTGTGGGGGAACCATAGCCCCGTCCTCCAGGGCATGAAGCAGGTATGGAGGAGATCCAGGCTCCAGACATCCAGAGCCCCTCAGAGCACAAGAGACCAAGGAAGACAAACGGAGGGGCAACCGTGCCACTATCCCAGAAAGAGCTGAGGAGAGTCCCAGATGAGGGGTCACTCAGCAGCCGTGGAGCAGCTGTGCCAGAGTGACCAAGCCCGAGGCCAAGGCCACCCCACCCCCCGAAGGGGCCCGAGCGAGCCCCAGGCTCCAGGCCCCGACAAGCAGCCACCAGGAGTGAGACGGTGCGTACCTGGACGCCCATCCCCGGACACAGAGAACCACCAGTGCACCAATGTGTGGGGGCATCTGCCACTGGCACGTGGAGTGGTGGGGGGAGATAGGTCTCCATACCTTCGAGGGCCTGAGATGTCCCTAGAGAGGTGACGTCTGATACCCGAACTGACATATAGACACAAACATACAGGCACACACAGATACAAACATCCATTCCCACCCTCATACTCTCATATGCAATTACTCAGCACTCACCCAACGTGGAGAAAGATATAAATAGACACTGTACACACAATCACACTCCCAAAGCGTACTCTAAGCCCCAGATCTAGGTACCCTTGTCCCTGGAGGGGGAAACTGCACCCAGACCCTGGTAGTGTTACCCTCTTCCCTGGGGTGGAGAGACACAGACCGCCCCAACTCCGCAGCAGCAGGGAGGCCCCACATTCCAGACCCCAATTGGATGGCTGACTCCTCCTCCCAGCTCCCCCGCCCCAACAGGCAACAGAGAACGGGGGGGTGTGAAGACTCCAAACCTCCCTCCGTCCGCTCATAAGTAGTGTTGATGCATGTGTGTTCCAGGAGGGCATGGAGCTACCTGCCAGAGAGCAGCAGGTAAGCGCATAGCCCCTCCTGATAGCCCTCAATGTATACGTGTATTTAAAATTGAGAGGTGGGCAACGACGCCAGGGGTGAGGTTGTACACCCTGATGGTCATCCGGATGCTGTGTAGCGTGCCCACCCCCAAGGTTTCGGAAATGTCCTAATCTAGAAAAATACTGGAGAGACACATTTCAAACTTTGGCACTAATTCTTGGATAGCATGTGGGTCCTAATCCATTAGCTACACTTTTTGGCACCACTGGAGAGACTGATGCACAGTTGATCTTGTCACAGTGTCACACACCGTCTTTCACTTCCCTTGTGGCTAGGCATGCAACCCTGCTAAGATGGAGTAGCTCAATGGCTGAGGGACCTTATGTGTTATTTAGGCCTCAAAATGATCCATTATTCAATTAGTAATACCAGCAGGAAATTTTACAAGGTGTTGGGGCAATTCCTGAAATATTTTTCCCCACTTCTAGCACTACTCAGTAAATTCTCTGTTTTTGTTGCTGTTGTTGTTTTGTTCTGCTTTTTGTTTTGTTTTGTTGTTTTGTTGTGGGGTTTTTTAAACTGGCTCAAGGGACAGGGCTATTGTGTGGGATGGGTAGGGGGTAAAGTGATAAAAGCAATTAAAAGATATGAGAATGTGTTATTAAGCTGTAATTTATTACATCAGCTTAAGCAATAATTGTGAAACCTACTTACTTATTGTATAACAGTTGTGTGTATCTCTTTTTCTTTGTTGTTTCAATCTAATAAATATATATTTAAGAAAAAAAATGTATTTAGAGCACACTAATAAATTGTCCCACACTGATAAATTACTGCAAAATTGTTAAATTAGGAAAAAATGATATTTTTAAAATAATGCCACTGCATTACCATTTTTAGGTCCATTATTTCAAATAACACTGAAATAATAAAGTAAAATAATTGAAATCATTGTCTCTTCTCTCCTTTCTCACAGCTGAGCCTCTAGTAAAGGAGGTTAAGAAAACCCGCATCAAAAGAGAAGACTTTCACATCTTGAAGGTGATTGGCCGGGGCACATTCAGCGAGGTGAGCGAGAATTGTACCTACTACTTTATATGAGTATAATTTTTAGGTATTGACTTAAATTCTACATTTAAGAATATGAATTATTTAGCTGCCTTTTTATGTGGAATGGGGTTTTACTGAAAGGAACTGGACCTGTCTGCAATGATACTACTTACACTCCACATAGTTTCTTCTTAATCATTTCTACTAGATCTTTTAATATCAACATGTCAAGGCCACCAAAATGGGTAGAACTCTGTCACGGCGGGGTATGCCAGTGAGTTTGTGAAAAGGACCCAAAAGCAGACACTAGAGAGGTGAACTGAAGTTGAAACCAAGAGTGAGCTATTTATTATGGCTGGTGGACATGAACATAAAACATGAGCAAAGGCAAAACAGGAGCGACAACTAAACTGAAACCTAAAATGGGAAAACTAAAAAACTACTGTATTTTCAGACTATAAGGCAAAAAAACCTCACTCAACTCATTCTTCTTGCTTCCTCCACTTCCGTACCATTGATTCATTAATGTTGAATTCTCTGCAGTGGCTCTATTCCCATGTTGTTGCAGTATATTAATGACTAACCTCGTATTGTGGATGGATTATCTCAGTTGTTCTCCTGACTGAACTTTAGTCCGTTTATAGCATCCTGCTATGCAATTGCATTAGTCCCTAACCATCAGGAACCCTCACGGTAACTTTTATCGTATGGAAAAAAGTTAGTGTTCATCCTCCATCTTCACTGTGTATGTTATACTAACATAGCTGTGTAGCTAGTGATCACATAGCACATCATTTCATTATATACCAGCTAGCCCAACTTAAGTAACCCTACAAAAGTCACTGCTGTTTAGGTTTTTTTTTGTCTTCATTTATGTTGGAAGTGTTAGCAGAGCTGTGCGTTTTAATTATTCAGAAATCTCTCAGTCAGAACATGCTATATCATGTTTAGGTGGAAACTAGCAAGCTAACTTCCTGCTAACTTCTATCTCCGTTAAATTTAATACATTCTGTTTTCGTGGATGCCTGGATGAGATGAAAGAATTTAGATAGTTTTTAACTGTCAGTGATGCCGCAGTGTTCGGGACCTGAAGGGACAGAGTTTAGGACCCAGATTACTCTGCGAGGTTCCTAACTACCGTAGCCGTAATGCTCTGACAATCCATCAAGCGGTGCAGCTTCATAGCTTACCAAAGTCATACTAAAACATTTTTGACAGATTTTTGAGTGCCGTGTACCACATAAAATCGGTTCGAGGTCAGTAAACACAACCAGAATTCATGCATAAGGTGCACCGGATTATAAGGCGCACTGTTGGTTTTTGAGAAAATTAAAGGATTTTAAGTTTGCCTCATAGTGTAGAAAATATAGTATGAAAACTGTGACATGGCTGAGGTAACTGAAAACTATAAATCAGCTATGACAACTGTGATAACTATGATGACTATGGTGACTATGACTACTAAGGTTACTATGACAAGACATGGAAGGAGAAGAAATGACCTGACACTGAACAAAGGAAGACAGAGGACTTATTACAGACAAGAGGTGATCAGGGAAAATGGAAACACAAGACTTTCAGAATAAAACAGGAAACATGAAGAGACGTAAAGATATTAACACCGGCTAGACAATATGAAACACACAGACAAAAAATACATGAGACTAACACAGAAAACCTAGGAGAAATATAAATTAAACTCAAGGCAAACAAATAATAATCCTAGAACTTAGCATCCTTTCAATATAACATACGAAGTCATAAATACAAAAATAAACACAAAATGCTGGATCATAGACCCAGCAAAAGTTTAACAAGTTTATTTATACAATAAAGTTCACAAGGGAAAGGCTTTCTGTCAGTGAAGTCTAATGTCCAAACAAAACAGGGAATTCTACCTCTCCTTAACTTCATAGAAGTCTTCACAGAAGACCTCTCTCTCTGATCTCCAGGGTTTTCTGCACAGAACAAACAAGTTAAGTAACTTATAGGCTGAAGGCAGACCACAACAACAAACAAGAGAACCAGATTCACTAACTATTTCAATGATCCAGTGTAGACTGAAAGCAACCTAAATAGTAGCAGGAAAAGACATCCATCCATTTTCTTCCACTTATCCGGGGCCGGGTTGCGGGGGCAACAGCACAAGCAGAGAAGCCCAGACCTCCCTCTCCCCAGCCACCTCTTCCAGCTTGTCTGGGAGAACACCATGGCACTCCCAGGCCAGACGAGAGATATAATCTCTCCAGCGTGTCCTGAGTCTGCCCCAGGGCCTCCTCCCGGTGCGACATGCCCCAAAAATCTCACCCAGGAGGCGCCCAGGAGGCATCCTTATTAGATGCCCGAACCACCTCAACTGGCTCCTTTCAATGTGGAGGAGCAGTGGCTCTAGTCTGAGCCCCTCCCGAATGGCCGAACTTCTCACCCTATCCTATCTCTAAGGGAGAGGCCAGTCACTCTTCAAAGGAAGCCCATTTTCGCCGCTTATATTCGGAATCTCATTCTTTCGGTCACTACCCACAGCTCGTGACCATAGGTGAGGGTAGGGGCATAGATCGACGGGTAAATTGAGAGCTTCGCTTTTACACTCAGCTCTCTCTTCACCTCAACAGACCGGTACAGCGTCTGCATCCGCTGTACCGGATCTGTCTGTCAATCTCCCGCTCCCTGCTTCCTTCTCGTGAACAAGACCCCGAGATACTTAAACACCTCCACTTGCGGGACAATAAACTCGTCCCTGACCCGGAGTGGGCACTCCACCCTTTTCCGGCTGAGGACCATGGCCTCAGATTTGGAGGTGCTGATTCTCATTCCCACCGCTTCACACTCAGCTGCGAACCATTCCAAGGCGAGCTGGAGGCCATCAACCAATGAAGCCAACAGAACCACATCATCTGCAAAAAGTAGAGATGAGATCCTGAGACCACCCAAGTGAAAGCCTTCCGCCACTTGGCTACGCCTAGAAATTCTGTCCATAAAAATTATGAACAGAATCGGTGACAAAAGGCAGCTCTGGCGGAGCCCATCACCCATCAGGAACGAGTCCTACTTATTGCCGGCTATGCGGACCAAGCTCTTGCAACGGTTGTATAAGGACTGAATGGCCCGCAGCAATTGGACACATTTACTGTTAGCTATTAGCACCAGCTGTCAGCATCAGCTGCTAGCCGCTGCGCTGTCTTCGGATAGCCGGTTTCTGGACTGTATTTGTTGCTCCTAATCTGTGGAACAATCTTTCCCAGCACATTAGAGGGGCCCCTTCACTGTCCACTTTTAAAACACGTCTTAAAACCCATTTTATCTCCTTGGCTTATGACACAGTCTGACCCTGATTTTATTATTTTAATCTAATGTGCTGATTTTATTGTTTTAAATGTAATTCTCATCAACATTTTTATACTATTTTATTATTGTTTTTGCTATTTGTGCTAATTTTATTATTTTAAATGTCATTTTAATAATCATCTTATTTTTTATTTTTTAAATATTTTTTATTCATTTTATATTATTATTATTATTATTATTTATTTTATTTATTTTTCTTATTTTTTAACATGTTCAATGTATCATTTCTGGCATGTCAAGTGTACAGCACTTTGTGTTCAGCTGGGGGCTGATCTGAAAGTGCTATATAAATACTACAGGGAGTGCAGAATTATTAGGCAAATGAGTATTTTGTCCACACCATGCTCTGCATGCATGTTGTCTTACTCCAAGCTGTATAGGCTCGAAAGCCTACTACCAATTAAGCATATTAGGTGATGTGCATCTCTGTAATAAGAAGGGGTGTGGTCTAATGACATCAACACCGTATATCAGGTGTGCATAATTATTAGGCAACGTCCTTTCCTTTGGCAAAATGGGTCAAAAGAAGGACTTGACAGGCTCAGAAAAGTCAAAAATAGTGAGATATCTTGCAGAGGGATGCAGCAGTCTCAAAATTGCAAAGCTTCTGAAGCGTGATCATCGAACAATCAAGCGTTTCATTCAAAATAGTCAACAGGGTCGCAAGAAGCGTGTGGAAAAACCAAGGCGCAAAATAACTGCCCATGAACTGAGAAAAGTCAAGCGTGCAGCTGCCAAGATGCCACTTGCCACCAGTTTGGCCATATTTCAGAGCTGCAACATCACTGGAGTGCCCAAAAGCACAAGGTGTGCAATACTCAGAGACATGGCCAAGGTAAGAAAGGCTGAAAGACGACCACCACTGAACAAGACACACAAGCTGAAACGTCAAGACTGGGCCAAGAAATATCTCAAGACTGGTTTTTCTAAGGTTTTATGGACTGATGAAATGAGAGTGAGTCTTGATGGGCCAGATGGATGGGCCCGTGGCTGGATTGGTAAAGGGCAGAGAGCTCCAGTCCGACTCAGACGCCAGCAAGGTGGAGGTGGAGTACTGGTTTGGGCTGGTATCATCAAAGATGAGCTGCAACATCACTGGAGTGCCCAAAAGCACAAGGTGTGCAATACTCAGAGACATGGCCAAGGTAAGAAAGGCTGAAAGACGACCACCACTGAACAAGACACACAAGCTGAAACGTCAAGACTGGGCCAAGAAATATCTCAAGACTGGTTTTTCTAAGGTTTTATGGACTGATGAAATGAGAGTGAGTCTTGATGGGCCAGATGGATGGGCCCGTGGCTGGATTGGTAAAGGGCAGAGAGCTCCAGTCCGACTCAGACGCCAGCAAGGTGGAGGTGGAGTACTGGTTTGGGCTGGTATCATCAAAGATGAGCTTGTGGGGCCTTTTCGGGTTGAGGATGGAGTCAAGCTCAACTCCCAGTCCTACTGCCAGTTTCTGGAAGACGCCTTCTTCAAGCAGTGGTACAGGAAGAAGTCTGCATCCTTCAAGAAAAACATGATTTTCATGCAGGACAATGCTCCATCACACGCGTCCAAGTACTCCACAGCGTAGCTGCAAGAAAGGGTATAAAAGAAGAAAAACGAATGACATGGCCACCTTGTTCACCTGATCTCAACCCCATTGAGAACCTGTGGTCCATCATCAAATGTG